CTAATTCGCTTCAGATGCCGGGGTGTCATAATTCCCCCCTAAATGAGAGGATGCGCGCACCCTGCGTGCGCGGCGCTGAATTATTCATCGGTTTAAAATAAAAAAAGACGCGTTTTGGCTGCGGAGTCGCATCCGTAAGTTTATACATCGCCAATTATCTTTAATTTATTACCTTAATTGAATATCTCCCCACCCTCCTCCAACCAAAGATAGATTTGTGATCAGTTTACATTCTCCTTCAAAGACTGCAGCCTGCAGCATCCTCCTTCCTCCTCTCTGCTCTCCTTCAGTGCTCCTCTCACAGAGGAGGATCGGATTTGCTTGGTGCTCCTTTCAATCAGCCGTGCTGTCAATAAGACACGCGCGCGCTCGCAGGCCTCTGTTACTTTCTTATTTACTGAGAGCTTCTTCTTTTTCCTGTAGCAGTGAAATAAAATAAAGCACCAGAACCGAACAGTGAGCATTTAGAGCACTCCCATCTCAGCAGCGCCTGTGTTTATTTGTCTTTAAATGGAGCTGCAGGGCTGCTCTATCCCAGCGCAGATAAATTAGTTTATTTATTAGCTCGAAAAAATATTAAAATACAAATTATTCAAATAAACACACACATTTTAAATTATAGGGCGTTTCTATCTAGCTTTGTTTAATCAGATCTCAAAGCAAATCAAATGTTTTAACACTCGTTGATAGACAGATCAGAATAGAATCGATGTGGATTAAAAAAAAGCATCTTAATTAAATGTCCAGATTTCAATCAAACGGAATAAATGAGCAGTGATGCTGTGACTGAGGGTTAACCCTGTAATGCAGGCCTCTTCCCATTGGCTGAGGCTGCATCTAGTTGCTTTCTGTTGCTCTCCGAGCCGGAAGCTGCTCATACAGTAGAGGCGAGGCCGCGTGCGCGCGCAGCCGTGCCCTGGTAGCCTACATGCGTGCGCGCGTTTCTTGTCAGACTGATGTGACTCCTGGATCGTGCCAGGGTCTCTGTTCGTGCACAGACGGGAGCGCGCACCAGCATCGGTGTGTGTGTGTGTGATTTTTTTTTTTTGTGCTCTTCCCGTCCACAGCTCTCGCCCTCTCAGCCTCTCTCTCCCCGCCCGTCTCTAAATGCCATCGGCGCCTCCATCTGCATGTCAGTCTTTCTTCTCATCTGCAGGAGAGAAAAAAACAAACCAAAAAGAGGAGAAAAGAAAAGAAAAGAAAAGAAAAGAAAAGCAGAGGAGAGGAGAAGCGTCCACCTCCCAGGTCAGTATTTCCATTTCAAGGTCCTTTTCTCGGATCCTGATGCTGCTGCGCTTCTTCATTTCGCTCCTCAGTGACTGATGGAAACTTTTGCTTTGATAAGAAGATATGTTCGAAAAAAAAAAAAACATTTTTATAAATTACTGAATATTTTTTTTTATAAGTTTAATAATATGTTGGAATCTGCTCCAAACGCTTTTAAAGCCGCCTCCATCCTTTGCTAAAGCCCTAAAACACTGATGCAGCGATGCTCGCCTCATTTTGGAACAACCCGTCGCCCATTTCCCCTCAATTATTTAGCCGCAACCGACGGTAAAATAGCGCAGATGAGCAGTTTTAGCGGCATATTACTGGGCGCTCAGGTTGATGCAGATGGTTCGGGCTGGGGAGCCGCGCCACGCGTGAAATTGATCTGATTACCTTGCCGGCGGCTGCTTCTGCCTCGGTTCTTCCTCCCCATCACTTCGTGTCCTCCATCTCAGTTGTCTGTGCATCGATATGGCGCAGGGAGTGGGCTGCGGAACGAAGACGATGTGTCAAATTAGGGAGGAGATTCACGGCGCAATTATTAGTAATTTAGTTCTTCCTGATAATAAACCAACAAATTCCCCTTTTCTTGTTTTTAAATTATTAATCTGGTATAAAGGAAAACAGATTTTTTGGATGAAGGACGGCGGCTGGCTGCGAGTTTAGGGCGGTTTTTTTTTTTTTTTTTTAATGTTTTGGTTTTTTTTTTCTTCGAAATTTACATTCAGAACGTTTTTACACATTCAAGCCCCCCCCTCTAAAATATAGTGCTGAATGAAAGTGTCCCTGCGTTAGAGGCGCAGAGGCCCCGCGCGGTGGCTGCAGATTATATCAGCGCGTCTAGCGAGGAGCGATAGAGACGCAGATAAGCATCACAACTCGGCCACTTGGCACAACATTTTCCTTTTTTTTTTTTTTTTTTACATCAGTGTAGGAAAGAATGACACAAAACACGAGCTGCTCTATTTTTTTTTTCCCTTTTTACACTCGTAGAATGTGATTTTGGCTCTAAGTCTAAATCATTCTAGGAACCGAAGTTCTGTTTTCAGGTTTCAGCCGCTCGACAAGCAGAATTTAACGCCCTCGTTTTGTTCTAAGAAGCAGACTCGGTTCACATGCCAGAGAGAATAACAGCTCCTTTTTCTTGAAAAGACCAGAGAGGTGACAAATGACTCAGAGTGATGTAACAAATAGATTACCTGCGGGGAGCTGCAGCAGTTTCGACATGCAAAGCCTGCTTGAACCGGTAAAATCTCCCAGGCTGGACCAACTGCAGCCTGCAGCCCGGTCCGGTTTAACCCAGCAGCCTGCAGCCCGGTCCGGTTTAACCTTCCACAAACTCCCTTTTTTTTCTATTTTTCTTCAATTTCATCTTGTTCTGGGTCTGAAAGCGCGATATTAGTCAGACTGACAGTTTGTGTTTTGGAAGAGATGAGAAAGCAGGTAAAATTATGACAAACAGAGACCCTAGAAATCAACCGGAAAAGCCACGGGTTTTTTCCCCCCTCACAAATTATATAAATAATTTATCAAAAAATAACAAAAAAAATCTGCTAAATTTAATGTGAATTTTATCAATATTTTAATTGTAGTTTAATTTTATTTTTACTGAGGAATAAAACCACACATTGAGGCCACAGAGGATCGAAATATTTGATCCTCCGCGCTGCATGGCAGCAATTAACGCCTCTTAAATTCAACTCCTAACCGCAAAGAAAAAAAAATTTGTTTTGATTTTAATCAGAGATCTTTGTCATAAATTATCTGCGCCATCGGGGCCGCCATTGGACCCCCGCCTGCTTCTGTGACTCAAGATTTATGCAGATGTTACTCAGAAATTAACCTAAAAAAGCCATTTTACAATCATAGAGAGAAATAGCTACGAAAAAAAAAAAGTGAAGCTGATCTTTTTAAGTTTTCCCATATTTAGATTTTATTTTTTTTAAATTAGCAGATAAAGTAGGCCTTGTTTCGGGAGCCATCAGAGACACCGAGGGTTCACGCTTCCCTTTATGTGGATTGGGGGAAGAAAATCAATAAAATAAGGATAAAATAAAACAAACCAGGATTGCTAAATTAAATATGATGATAATAATAATATTTATGATTATTTAGAGCTTTTTGCGTCACCTCCGCAGCTACAGCGGCTGCTGGGTGGATGTGGCTCTGAGATAATTGCACCAACCCGCTGACAGCTCCAGAGATTGCAGCTCCAGCTGTCTCAGGTTTGCTCCTTCATCATGTCAATCATCTCCTCCTCCTCCTCTCCAAGAGGAAAACGCGTCTCTTCCCCACTCCTTCCATCACTAATAAACATATTTGTCGTAAAAACATTAAGCTTAGTCATGGGTTAACTGGGGAGGCCCTTGCGGGTTAAAACCAGCGCTGACAGCTCTGGCTTCACTCAGTTTGATCTAAATTAAGACTGATAATAGCGGCAGATGCGCATTTTTTTTTTTTACTTTTTTTGCGCATGAAGCTCATGAATTCCCCTCTGCGGTGCCCCGCACTGATACAGCGACGTTGGTGCAAAGCAAAGGCGGCGTGCGCGCTCCCGCCTGACTTTACCTACCTACTTGAGCGTCCATGTGCGGGTTTATTTCCTGGCTCGAGTGTGACGTCACATCCAGTGGCGTCGATGCAAACACTCTTACATTTCCACTTTACAGTGTCAGTCTGACAGATGAAAAGGGCTCATTTAAAGGGAACTCTAGCGCCTAATTATATAGATAAAATAAACTGTATACACTGAGCTTTTTCTGTTAATAATTTAGATTTTTTTTTTTCCTGAAAAGCAACATTTTCCTTTATTCGATATTTTATAATAGAAAACAAAATTTCAGGACTGCGAAATTGATGAAAAATTATGATTAAATAAAAAAAAAATGATGTTTTAAATTAACTATTATTTTCAACAAAAACAAAAAAATATAGGCCTATATATATAGCCTATATATGTGTGTGTGTGTTTTTTATTCAAACTGCCTATTTTGGTTCCTTTCTTCGTGTTTCTAAACTGCTGCCGCTGAAAATGGATCTAATCGCTCAGTCTCACCCTTTGCTTAACTTTCTTTTTTCTTTGTGAAAACAAAAAAAAAGATGTTTTCTGCCCCTCAAACGCGTCCTCGTCTCTTCGCGCTGCACGGTGAGGATTTAGGAGCCGGCCAGTCCCCGCTAGGGGGCGCACTATCACAACCTTAAGAGCAGGAATCGACCTGAAACCTGCAGTTTGCCCTGAAGCAAAAGGCTCTGCTGCTGCTTTTCTCTGTTGCCACACTTTGAAAAGTGAATGAAACAAACAGATCTGTTTTTTTTTTTATTTTACAATTTTAAATTATCTTCCCACTATAACCCCAATTAATCTATCTGTTAAAAGTTTATTTAAAATGTTTAAGTCGTGCTCTTTTTTAAGCTTCTGCGTTTCTTTTAGGCCTTTAAAAAAATGAACTTTATGTTTTGATGATTTTAGTTCACAGCTTGCAGTTCGGTATCTCTCCTGGCCTGAGTTAGATTCAATTAGGCAGGCCCCTCCTCTTAGCTGATGACACTGACAGACCCTCCTTAAGTTGCGTCGCGCCACAGCTGTCTGCAAGCATTGAGCTGCCTGGCGCCATCCTGAAAGAATGCCTTCACTGTAAAAAAAAAAAAAAGAGAGAGAGAGAGAGAGAGAGAGGCAGAGCAAGAGTCCCACAGAAAGAGGTGTGTGTGTGTTTGGGGGGGGGGGAGAGGAGTTAATGGAGAAAGCTCCAGCAGATCAGATCAGTGAGTTGAACTTGTTGGTGCCGCTCAGTGCGCAGCGCACCGAGCTCTGAGCTACTCGGTAAACCGACCCAAAAAAAATTATTTGTTCGTGTTCATTTAATTTTTTTTTTTTCTGAGAGAAAGTGAAGAGCTCCGGATCTCTGCTCCCCGAACAGGATTCTGTTTTTATTTTTTTTTTTTGGACCCTTTGGTTTGTTTGACAGCGGCGTTGCTGCTGCTGGTTCTGCTTCGGTATGTCTTTAAATCTGCCTTTGCGCTAAAAAAAAAAAAGAAAAAAATTAAGAATAAAAATAAAAAAGCGTGAATCCAATCTGCGCTGCTTTGTTTTCGTAACGAACAGAGTCACTAAAATTCTTCTTTCTGTCTCCAGGTGATCGGAAGCGGCCGCGGAACCTGTTGGATTTAAACGCAAACGGATTTTGGGACTCAATATTTCTTTGCTTCGATTTTTTTTTATTCTTTTTTTTATTTTTTGAATTTTTATTTTTGCTCCACATGAACTTTTACTGAAGAACAGAATTAAATAGATCAGTAGGAGCGATGGAAGTAAGCGCGGACCAGCCCCGGTGGATGAGCCATCATCCCGCGGTCCTGAACGAGCAGCATCCCGGCTCACACCACCCGGGCCTCGGCCATTCCTACATGGACCCTTCGCAGTATCCGCTGGCAGAAGATGTGGATGTACTGTTTAATATCGATGGACAGGGAAACCACGTCTCCTCATACTATGGGAACTCAGTGCGGGCCGTCCAGAGGTACCCTCCTCCTCCACCCGGTCAGTGATCGGCCTCTCTGGGCCTCTTTAAATCTCATTTTCTTATTAATATTATTTTAAATTCTGCATGTTTTATGATTGTTTCTTTTTATTTTGCCCTGCTGATGGAGAATCTCTAATCTTTAATCACATGAACTGAGCTCTCATGCCTGTGGAGTTTCCTATAATGTGACTTCCTCAACAGGCATTTTTTGTAAAGCTTTTCAGTGACACAGTTGTTGCATCAGGGCCTGTTTGACGGGAAGGGTGACAATAGTTTTCCCTCCACAAACTAAAAGTTGGGAAATCCGATGTTTATTAGAAAGGAATGATCAAAAACAAACTCCTGACCTGCTTTTTGTTTCCCTGCTGCAGGTAGCCAGGTGTGCCGCCCCTCATTACTGCACAGCTCTCTGCCCTGGCTGGAGGGCAGCAAAGGAATCCCCCCCCACCACAGCAGCTCCCCCTGGAACCTCAGCCCCTTCCCCAAGAACCCCCTGCACCACGGCTCCCCGGCCAGCCTGTCCGTCTACCCCCCGGCCTCCTCCACCTCCCTGTCCACCGGCCACTCCAGCCCGCACCTCTTCACCTTCCCCCCGACCCCTCCTAAAGACGTGTCTCCGGATCCGGGCATTTCCACCCCGGGCTCCAGCAGCTCCGGGCGTCAGGAGGACAAGGAGTGCATAAAGTACCAAGTGACCCTGGCCGAAAGCATGAAGCTGGAATCCGCTCACAGCCGGAGCGTGGCGTCAATCGGAGCAGGGTCATCCTCTGCCCACCACCCCATCGCCACATACCCACCCTATGAATACGGCCCCGGCCTCTTCCCACCAAGTAGCCTGATAGGTGGGTCATCTTCTAGTTATGGTTCCAAAACGAGACCAAAAACAAGGTCCTGTTCAGGTAGGCGTGAGCTTTATTACATTCCCTTTTGATCTAACGTTGCTCCCCAGATGTACAGCCTCCATGAACAGTACCGACAATCTGCCACAAAACTCACCCTTCACCCTAATAACAACAATAATTATTATTTCCAAAATCAAAACCGGGATAAATCTGTTGTTTTGTCATTTTAATCCAGATTATTTGGTGATATTTCTGTTAAAAAAAACATAAACAATCTGCATGCTGCTAATTAAATCCATGGAGCTCGTAATAACTAGTTTTCAGACAGAGGAAGCGGCTCTATGAGGCTGTCGCCCCGTTTCTGTGTTCAGATAATCCCATTACTGTCAGGCCAGCGCGCGCCACTGTGGCTTTGTTGAGCCAGCGGCGGAGAACCGGATGTTTCCCTTCATTCACAGCCGGGGGGGAGCGCTTTATTATTATTATTATTATGATTATTATCATTACTAAGATTAGTATGATAATTATTATTATTACATGTTATTATTTTGGTGGTGGCATGCAAATAAATAGACAGTTTTAAAAGTGGATTAATTGATTCATATCAGCGGCATGACTCAGAATCAAAAGGAAAATAAAGACTTTATTTGGAAGATGACTGCAGATTAAAGTATATTTTCCTGCATATTTAAAGAAAAGGATGAATGCAGCAGCCAGTCACCCTCACAGGGCCCTCATTTCTCTTTACGCATGCCCTGGAACCGACGCAGTTCCTGTTTGATTTGTTTTTTCTTTTCTTTTTGCAAACTCAAAAGATCAAATAGAGAAACGCACTTTCCCAGGTGCCTGCATGTGTGTGCACACACCAATGTTTGTGTGTGATTTTTGCAGCAAACACACACACACAAAAAAAAGGGGAAGTGTGGCTGCATGAAAAGGCATAAAGGCTGATGTTGAAAAAAGCTTCAGTCTTTGCTTTCAAATAATCTCGAGTGCAGCAGCTCCCCTTGTTTCAGTTTCGGGGGTGCTGCTGCAGCTGCTGCAGCAGAGGACAGTCATTTCAAAACAAAAGCCCCAGAATTATTTTTGTTATTAGGTGGTGAAAGAAAGAGAAATTCTCAATTATTATTTAAACAGAAAGAAAATGACGTCAAATGTTTCTAACTGTTTAGAGACGGTAGTTTTCTGCTTTTAAGGACCTTTACAAACATTCAAAGATTGTCTGTGATATTCTGCTCATTATTTGAAGCCATGTTTCTGTTAACAGATTTTTCTCCTAGCTTTGATTACTGCGCCAAGATGAGATTTTCTTTCTATTTTCACCTCATCCTGACCCTGTGTCCATCATTTTTATTTCTGTTGTGTGCGTGTGTGTGTGTGCATGCTGTTGTGCGCTCTCCCGCACGCAGAAGGCAGAGAGTGCGTGAACTGCGGGGCCACGTCCACTCCGCTGTGGAGGCGGGACGGTACGGGCCACTATCTGTGCAACGCCTGCGGCCTCTATCACAAGATGAACGGGCAGAATCGCCCTCTCATCAAGCCCAAGCGGCGGCTGGTACGTTCCTCAACCGACATTTTCCTCCCTCTGCTGATGACGTTTCCGTCTCTCTCTGTGTTTGTTTCCCCCTCTATCCAGGAAGAAGTAGGCCTATTAGCTGCAGGAAATTGACTCGGCAAGTGCAGGTCTCTGTTTTCAGATACTACATTAGAAACGAAATATAAAAAAAACCAATTAACTAAATAAAATGCATAATCTGAAACAAATAAAGAGAGAAAAATGAGTTTATTGCTTTAATGGATGAAGGACTCAGTTTTTAAGAAGCTTCTGCAGCTTAAAATTTGCTGCATGAACTGAGATCCAGAAAAATAGTTTGATGTTGCTTCTTTTTAGGGAACATTTCTCATGTCTTTATGAGTTTTAAGGAGATCCCTGCCTTGGTTTTAAAAAAATAAAATCTTAGGAGGCCTTGCTTGGCCTGTAGGGTGAAAAGCCGACGTCTCAGGGAAGGAGTGGAGAGGAAAGGGCTGCCGGATGTCTGATAACAGCATGAACGGAACCGAACGGAACCGATTGGAGCAGGCCAGCTTCAAAAAGATGAAGCAGTTTCAGTTTGTTTTTTGAGGCCAAAACTCCAGCAATTAGATTTACAGATAAAAATAAAATAAAATTGGAAATAAAAAGGAGAATAAATAAAAAAATGAATGTTTCTCCTCTGATTGGTTATTCACCGCACGCGCCAGAGGTTATTAGGCCAACGCTTGCGTATAATTGGAAAAAAAAAAAGCCTCCAGAGATAATTTAGTCGTTTGCTTTTGGCGTGTCCTCTGCGGTCACCTGTAGCTATTGATTATTTTTAGAGATTATAACATCAATGCCAAGGCGCTGCTGCAGCGATGCAGACAGGATGAAGTCTGCGCCATTAACTAAACTCGCCTCCTATCTTCATTAAATCCAGAATGACTGAATATTCCTCCCCTTTTACGCATAAAAGACTTTCTCTTTAATGGTTTGACATTTGAAATCTGGCGCCACAAACACGCGCGGTTTGAAAGAACAAGGGGATTTAATCTGATCTCCGTTTCCAAGCTTTGCTTTAATGTCTTCTCTAAATATTTATTCTGTCGGAGGTAGGAAGCTATTTTCAGACTCCCGAGTCAAAGCAGCTCCTTTCTGCCATTTCTGTCTTTGTGCTTTTCAAACTATTTTCAGCTTGCACTTATATGCATAAAAAAAGATGGAAAATATATACAGAGAAAATAAAAGCCTTGAGTGTTTTAGAGAGGAAACAGGTTCTGCTTTTGATCTGCGATGAAAGGAAATACATCTGAAATGTCTTAAGTGCGTTTATTGACATGTCTACATGTAACATGTACGTTTGTTATTCCAAATGTTTAAGTATTTGTATTTTTTAAAAGCCACTAAATGCATTCCAGGAGGTGCCTTTGTGTTATTAAAGCGTAGAGAAGCTGAATGCTGATTGGTTTTTTCCACCCGGGCATCTGACACCTTTTTCTCCCGTGCAGTCTGCAGCCAGGCGGGCAGGGACGTCCTGCGCAAACTGCCAGACGACAACCACGACGCTGTGGCGGAGAAACGCCAACGGAGACCCGGTGTGCAACGCCTGCGGCCTCTACTTCAAGCTGCACAATGTAAGTAATAAACCTGCACAGGATCTGCTCCTCTCCCTGCAAACCGGAATATTTCCCTTTTTTTTCTGTCCATGAATAAATGTCCTTGAGAGACTCCTCTGCAAATAAAAAAAATTTCTAAATAAGTAGTAGAACAAGACAATTTATATTTAAAATAAGAAAAAAAAACAATTGCATTGTCTTATTTCAAGTGCATATTATCTTATTATCTTCTTTTAAAAGTAAAACACTCATTCCTCATGGAAAATAATGATATTTACCTACACAAATTAAGGGTAAATACATTTAATTTACGACATTTTTACTTATTTCTACATTTTTTTTTGCAGTGTCCTTAGCAGGCAGATAAAACATCCTGAGATTTGTTGGTTTATTGGAGCTGAACCTGCAGCCTCCATCCTCAGAGTATTAATTAAATTGGATTCATTTCTGGGATTTTAAAAAAATAATTAATGTTTTTACTCTCTGAGCACCAATCTAACTGATTGGTTTTTGGTGGGTTTATGAAAGGATTTTACAGGGGCACCGCCAGGAATTTGGTGCCCCAAATTAAGACATTAATAACGGCCCCCTCACCCCCGAAAAAATGTATGCAAGCTTTAAAAATGCTGCAAAAATGCAGATTTTCTATGTAATTTTTATTGTAAATTATTAGAACACGAAACAGTTCAACATAGTTTGACGTTAAATTGCATAAAGTGGTGGATAAAAAGCTTGATGGTTAATTTGTTTTATTGTTTACTGCTGAAAAATGAGGGAGAATGCAAAACGGATTTATTTTACTGCTCACTTTTCTTTTTATATTTGAAATATCAATTAAGATTTATCTTTCCTTTTCTTCAATCAAGGACCCTTAGAATCTTCCTAACTTTTCCCCCAAATATGGCGTCCCCATGTCGGTTTTATTTCTTCCTCTCCTCTGAAAAAACCTCTCACTTCTAATCAAACAGCCACTATGTCCAAAGCTAATAATGATAATAGCAATAAGCAGACTAACTGCTCTCCGGCCACATGTAGGTAATTTCTGCTCCCCTCCTCTTCCTCCACTCTCCTCCTCTCACATGACAGAGTTTGCTTATATCCCAGTGTGCGAGCAAAAGAATATCCCGCTTTGCTGCCCTGCTTGTCACGCAAGCGCACTCTCTTAAATCACTTTCTCATGTTACTTTTGGCAGATAGTTAGTCCCTCTGAAAGCAGATTCAAAGCAAGGTTAAACACAAAGAGGAGGAATATTTCCCAGCTACGTACCGGCATCTGAACCCACCCTGACCTGAATAATTATCCTATTGGACTTCTGTTGGAGCTTGAATCAAATTCCAGAATCTCGAGGAGGATTTCAGAGGCTGTCTGGATTCCAGCATTCATAAAAAACCGACAGGAAATCTGTCATGCTTCAGATTAAACGGGACATAAAAACGCAGCTGAGGTTGTTGTGAGGTTGTGTTTGAAGCTGGGTCGCCTGGGCTGGCTGAGTGAGCGGGGGTTACAGTACGCTGAGCTCTGACACCTCTGTCGCACACTGAGGTTTGACACTAAGCAGGGGCAGGGTGGGTGTAAAAGACAGACGAATCTGTGGCGGTCACCACCTCAGAGGGTGGGTGTTGCAGGGTGGAGGCCCGGCTCTTACTCTGCAGCTAAAACCAGACTGGGAGAAAGCATGGCTGAACAATTCTATTCAGTTTATTTCTATAGCGCCAATAATATGTAATCTGAAGGCACTTTACAGTTCACTAGATCATCCATATCAATTGATTAAAAGTTTTCTATCTAAGGAAAACCAGTTGATTCCAAACTAAGCATGCTTGTAGCGACAGTGGGGAGGAAAAACTCCCTTTTAACAGGAAGAAACCTCCAGTAGAACCAGGCTCAGTGTGAGCGGCCGTCTGCTGAGGAAGACTGGGAATCAAGGAGACAGAAGCAGACATAGAAAAAGAAGCATAGATACAAAAGGCAACTGTAAAAGGAAACACACAGCCAGGTAGACAAGCTCCCATGTCAGAGGATGAGGAGAGCACATCCAGCCAGTAACAGTCAGAGAAACAGGACTACACTGGAGAAAGTTCCAGTGCATAAATAATGGTGTACGATGTTTAGATAATTCAGCCTATGCTGTGCGGATCTTTGACAGGCAGCTCAGATTTAGACTGAAGAAATTCCAGGTCTAGTTATTTTCTCTCTACAGCCGTCATTGGGGCCATTTTAGCCACCGCCTGGGCTAGCCATGGTATAGACGAACTTTGCCGACAGCGGCGGTCGTCTTAGCCTCCGCTCCAATGGCTGCATGTTAGCGGGCAGCCCAGTGGCTTCCTCCATCCATCCCAGTAGCTTCTCTGTGGAAAAGCTGCTTTAGGTTAAGGTGGAAACCTAAACACCTCTTTGAGTCACATTTCTGTCATGCAGAAGCGCCGGATTAATTATTTTTTTTATGCTTGCGTCTCAAGACAAAATACTAATCTGCCGTCTCTCTGTCTCCTTTCGAGAGCAGATCAACCGACCTCTGACCATGAAGAAGGAAGGCATCCAGACCCGGAACAGGAAGATGTCGAGTAAGTCCAAGAAGAGCAAAAAGTCCCAAGACAACATGGACGACTTCTCCAAGAGCCTGATGGACAAGAGCAGCTCGTTCAGCCCGGCCGCCCTGTCCCGCCACATGTCCTCCTTCCCCCCGTTCTCGCACTCCAGTCACATGCTGACCACCCCCACACCCATGCACCCCTCTTCCAGCCTCCCCTTTGCACCTCACCACCCCTCCAGTATGGTGACAGCCATGGGTTAAGCCCCGCCCCCCAACCCTGCTCCTCTCCAGCACCCTTTGGTACCTCTGCTCCAGACTCCTCTTTGGTTTGATCCATGCGGGGTCCCTGATCCTCAGTTCTCCTTATTTTTCTACAGACCTGGTGTACCTCTGCTATGTAAATGCTTTGCAGACTCGAACTGCCTGAGGTGCACTGACCCCCACGGGGAATATTTAGGTTTTTCCCTCCAAGCTAGGAGAGCGCGGATGTTTCTCCTCAATCCGCCGCCGTTGCTGACACCACATCGAGGCCGATCCTCCCAACAAGGAGCTCCATTTGTGAATAAAAGCCATTTCCTCCACTTCCACCAAAAGAGACACTGCAAGAACGTTGAGACCCCCCCCTCCTCCCCGAAACCCTCATCTCATTACCTTGTACCTGTAAAACAGGACCCCCCTCCCTCTCTGCCTCCTTTCTTCCTCTTCCTGTTCAGCTGAAGATGAGGAGTGACTGATTTATTTGTACAAATTGTATGAAATACAAAACATTTAATGAAGACTTTTTAATTAAGTAAGAAAAAAAATGAAACTTGCCCTTGGGCAGCTAACGACAACAAGGGTACGAGTTGCAGCAGGTGGAGAGACTTGGCACTGGAGGGCTGAGGTGGAAGACGCCTCCGAGTCCCGGAGGAAGAAAAGAAGCGAGAAGGAAGGACTTGAGACGGGGGCAGGCCTCACATTCTGCCTGCATGAAATGTGTCGCATTAAGTTTGCAGAGACGCGGCGCCGCCGGCCTCTCTCCTATTTTATTAGACTTTTTTTCCTTTTCATTTTTGGATGTGCTATACGTCTCTGGCAATTGGTTTGTGTTGAAGCGCGCACACACACACACACACACACACACACACACACACACATTGGATCAGCTGAAAGACTTTGTTTCTGCCCACAGATTATATGCATTGTGAAAAAGTTCCTGTATTTGTTATTTGTATGTATAAAATCAGAGTACCAAAAATACGAAAGAAACAAAGATGTAGAATTATTTCTTTATGTTATGCAGACTGAATGGTTGTAAAAAATTAATAATAATCACTAGTGTAAAATATGACTGCTTTTTTTTGTTTGGTAATTATTATTTTTTTTTTGCTCTTTGAAAATAATAAACTAGTTTAATCTCTGTTGACATGTTAGCTCTGTGGTTTGAGAGCCATCTTTTCTGTCTGTTTCTGATCTCCAGTTGCTTTGCACCCCCCCCCACCCACTCTCATACCCACAGAAACCACAATCAGAGGGGACCTACCATATAAATGTTCAGAAACGTGGTTTGTTCTGCTCCTGCGTTCGCAGGAACAGTTCTTAAGGTCAGCTGAGCACAAACAGGAAGGCAGGAAATAAACAGCAGCAATGGAGAACAAACCAAACGGCAGCATTGAAGCTGCTTTTATCTCATCCCGTCTGTTCGTCCAGACTGAGACACATTTCTGATGTATATTGCACAGTTTCTAAAGTGTTTTATTCCCGATGAACCGCTCCTGTCAGATGTGGCCTGCTGTGATCATGTAGCATGACATCAGGTCTTCTAGTCTCTGATTTCTGCTGAAAACACAGCAGCTTTATTAGTGATCCTGCTGCAGAAGCTTGAATGCGATCAGGGGCGGATTTAGGAAATTTGGGTCCTTAGACAAAGACAGGCAGGGGGCCCTTTGAAATAAAAAGACAACACATAAAACAGACAGATACAGAAATGTTAATAGAATAGTAGAGATGTCCCGATCCAGGTTTTTGCACTTCCGATCCGATACCGA